CTAAAGTGCTGTACATAAAAAAATAATATAACACATGCAACACATGATTAAAAGCTAAAAGAAAATAAGTGTGTTTTCAGTGACCTCTGAAATGACTCCAAAGTAGGAGATGTTTTAAGGAGAAGATTATTCCAAAGTCTTGAAGCTGCTACTGAAAAAACTCTATCACCTAGACATTTCAAGCATGATCGCGGAACTGAATACCGTCTGAATGTAAAGAAGGTGTGATTATTTTCTCTTTAATACAGATGATGCCAAGTCATTAGTAAAATGGTCAGGAGAAAAAAAAACATGTCTTTTTCAATGTTTTATCATTTTTCTATAAGTTCAGTGTGTTATATCAGGGTGTTCCAACCCTGTTCCTTGAGGCACACCAACAGTTCATATTTTGGATGTCTCTCTTATCTGACCCATTCATTTCAGGTTTCTTCTGATGCTCTGATGAGTTGATACAGGTGTGTCTAATTAGGGAGATGTTGAAAATGTTGGTATGCCTTCAGGAACAGGGTTGGGAAACACTTTGTTAAATGTATCTTAACATACAGTTAAACCAGAAATCATTCATACCCCAGGGGTGTTTTTATTTTATTTTATATTTTCGGCCTTGACTGTACATAGTGTAATGTTTGGTAGCTTGTCTAACCTTAGCATGCTGGATATTAACTCACTACAGCTAGTACTACATGTCATGTCATGTTTTTATATAATATAAGGTGTAATATACAGTAAGTCTCAGGTTTTGCCAAAACGTGTCTATGAAATATTATAGCTCCAAATACCTCAGAGTTAATTTATTACACCATGTTTTAAATCCCATTTTTGTGGTGGAATCAAAAGCACATTTTCATTGTTGTCTTGTTAAATGCAAATAAGACACCCCTTTTGGCAAAAAAAAAAAAGAAAAGAAAAAACGTCCTGAAAACAGTTTTCTCCTGAGAGCACACAGAAAGCTAGCTGTCAACAGCATGTGAGATAGTATTAAACTAAGTTCTAGACAAGGTAAAGTCAAGATGACGAACAAAACACACAGTAGTACACATAATGTTGGTTATGTCTGTGAATGTAAACTTTGGAGAAGAAATTTCAGATATATGAGTATAATAGGTCTGGGAAGCTGCATCTCTTCAAAGGCTCAACCCCAACAAAGCTTTAATAATGCAACTCAACACTCGCTCCTTTGGTGTGTGAGGGAGTCATTTAAATTTGGAATAATATGACTTCTTATAAGAAACCTCAGGACTAAAATCGAGACATTTGGGGGATTTTAGAAACAGTGCTTACTGATATAGAGAGTTACCCCTTGAAAGAGGATTTGATAACTGCGCAGATCTTTGTCATGCTCCAACAGCAACATTACACACTAAAGGAAGTTGAAACTGTGTTAAAAAAAAGCCTAATATGCCCCTTTTAAAGAATCCAGAGATGGAGCTGATTTTTTTTTTTTGTTTGTTTGTTTTGTTTTTTTGCTGCACATAATAGAAAATGGGAACAAAATGTAAAACTTTTGTTGTATCACAGTAGTTAGTGTTAGGTAATGCATAGGTTAACATGAATTAAGTAAAATGTTAACAAGCAAGAATAACATGCAAGTTGAAGCTGATGTTATTTGCATTTACATTTAGTCATTTAGCAGATATTTTTGTCCAAATCAACTTACAATTGAGAAGGCATTCAGCGATTCAACAACAAGAGGTAATACACATAAGAAGTGCTAGTTATAAAAAGCAATTTGTTTGTGCTCAGAGTGTTTAGTGCTAGTTTAGTGGTTAGTTTAATGCTGTTAACTGTTTAATAGCATGAATTATCATTAAGAACGCGTTTTAAGGGGTGTAGGAACCTTATTGTAGCTGCTCCAACTTGAGCCATTGTGTTACTAATTTGTGTTTTTGTTCATGTGAAATAAAGCAGCAACTAATATGTTAACTGACAAATTAATATAAACAATTAAACAAACGAACACTGTTATTAAAACCTGTTTTTATCATCCATGACGCGTTGCAAAGCTCTTTCTTTTAAAAACTTTGAATGAGTTATCCATGCATTTATAACTTTCAGCCTCAATTACTTCAATTCACTCTACCATGGAACTAATCAACAAATCACTCAGATGACTCAAATGGCACAAAATGAGGCTGCAAGACAAAAATATATAATTTAAAGATGATTCCTTGGATGTACTTTTTTTTTAGTGGTTGTAAGCACTTTTTTGTTTAAATTCAACACAAATAAATAGTTTGCAGCAGTTTTGAAGACATCGTTTTTTTTCAGTGCAGGAAGTCGAAAATTTGATCATATCTCTGCCATCTTAGCCTCTGCATTGGCAACCAGTTAAACGCCTTGCACCATCATATCTTACTAATACTCTTATTAAACTCCATCTAGGTCACTTAGATCTGGCAGCTTTGGAATGCTGTCTGTTTGTAGATCGAGATTAAAGCTTAAGAACAAGCTTAATTAAACTTTAGAACAACCATCCAGACTCATTTCGAACTCTCTTCATTGTTTTGTTTTTCAACTCAAACTCAAGATATTCCTCTTTAGTGTAAGTTCCTATTTTTTTATTTCCTCTGTTAGAGTTTAGTATGTTTACTAATTTACAATTTTCTGTGTTTATTATAATTTGTAGAGCAACTTTGAATTGTTTTTTTAAAATGTGCTTTGTAAATAAAAAATGACTGAGAATGAACTGAAAATAGTATATGTTCACTTTACATAACAGATTCAGTATTGCTGAATACATGTGTCGTCCATTGTTACAGGTCATTTTATCAAATCCGTGAACCAATGCATTAGTGTATACAGTGCTCAGCATACTGTATATCAGTACACCCCTCACAGATTTATCTTTAAAATTCATACTGTTAATAGAAAGCTATACAATATTATATTTGTGCTTATACATTATAGATTAGTCAGTACTGAAGCCAAATCTGAAGCTTATCTAGCAAAGTAACTTACAATAACGGACCAAAAACTAGTACACACAAATTTAAATGTTATATAAAAATATTAAGTAAAAATTTAAAAAGAGGAAAAATCAAGAAAATAAAAAAAAAAGATTTCTTTTGTTCAAAATTTTTTAGGTTGTAATTTTTAAAAATATTTTGCTTGAATTTAATTGTCTTTTAATTTCTAAATATGTTTTGTGACTAAAATAGTATTTATTATTTAATATTGTTTAATAAATATATCTGTTTAATAAATCTGTTTTGTTTAAATGCACCAAAATACATTGCCTATATTCACTGTATTCATTTTCAAAATGGTGTGCACTTAATTATGCTGAGCACTTTATTTAAAATACATATGTAAAATATTTAATAATAAAAATATATTATAATAATGTATAATATAATACATAAAATATTTAATTTATGTAAAATGTACAAAAAATTATTTGGCTGTTAATGTAAAGAAATACATTATTAAGGTAACATTAATATATAGTGCTGAAGTCGTAGTTTATGTATTAATGGCTAATGCATTTGATAACACATTATTATGTTTAGTAACATTAACAAGAGATAAAGTAATGCTTGACAGATGTGGTTCACTGTTAATTCATGTTAACTAATGCATTAACTATGGGCGAGGCAGTGGTGCAGTAGGTAGTGCTGTCGCCTCACTGTAAGAAGGTCGCTGGGTCGCTGGTTCGAACCTTGGCTCAGTTGGCGTTTCTCCCTGCCTCTGGGTGCTCCGGTTTCCACCACAGTCCAAAGACATGTGGTACAGGTGAACTGGGTAGGCTAAATTGTCCGTAGTGTATGAGTGTGTGTGTGAATGTGTGTGTGGATGTTTCCCAGAAATGGGTTGCGGCTGGAAGGGCATCCGCTGCGTAAAAACTTGCTGGATAAGTTGGCGGTTCAATCCGCTGTGGCAACCCCGGATTAATAAAGGGACTAAGCCGACAAGAAAATGAATGAATAATACATTAACTATAACTATTTCAAGGTTATTGTAAAGTGTTACCCAAAATGTCATGTTCATTTTTAAATGCTGTTTAATTTGTTTTAAATGAAAAATTTACACTGATTTTTCACAATAAACCGTCTGAATTATACTATGTCCTATTACACAAATTTCTTCATTACCTATTTACTAAACTAGAAGGCCGTACAAAATGCTGTCCATAAAACATTACGAATGGGCTGTCAGTAATATTCATTGAAGGAGAACTTTAAAAGATGCTCTTCATCTGTCTGTTCTCGTCTTTCAAGCACACAAAAAAGACTGTTAGACTGGGCATGAATGAAAAATTATTTCAGACTTCATGTCACGCCTCGTCTTCACCCCTCAGTACATTTGCTTTCAAAAACCAAAGCCACATATTTGATTTCACATTCCTAATAACTCATGCAGAACAAGTGTCTGCCAGACCAAATAAGAAATTCTGGAAGTTTCCAGCAGACAAAGAGTGATTGAAACATTTTCATCATTTGTTTTTCCATCACAGACCTTTTTTTTTTCTTTGTCCTTTACTTTTTTCTTGATATAATTTATGCTGGTGTTCTACCACCCTGAACTTTCTAATTTACTGTGTCTTTAAATAGCGCTGCCTTGTCACTGGCAGTTTAAAAATCTAATGCTGCGTTTAGATAAAGACAGATGCACAAGTACACAGATGGTTCTTTGTGTGCCGCTAATGAGCAATTAATGATTTGTACTTTCTCTTTCATATGCGCTAACACACGTTCAGTTCTGGCCTCTAGAGAAGCAGAAAGTCTGGCTCTTATTTCACACCATTAGGGGAAATTTAGTGTGCGTTTTGTCCTGTTCAATTTCCCCAGGCATAATTGCTGGCTGAAGATGAGTTTGGGAGCAGGAGATTCTGATATACTGTGTGATACTAGAATGTACAGTACTTCTTCCTTTTGTTTTAACAGAGTGTTTTGAGGTGGATTTGATATGGATACTGTTATCAGCTTGTCTTATCTGAGGGCCATATGTTTGAGACAATGTTGTGATTCTCTTTCTTTGTTATTATCATTTTCTCTCTGCAGTGCTCAGTGGCCTGTGCTCCAATGACTGTCCAGAAAAAGTCAAGGTGAGTTTTGACCTGTTTTTTCCTCCTTTTCTTTCTTATTCAAGACACCCAAGAAGAGTTGGTGATGAAATCTGCTGAAAACACATGAAAATCATCATTCTTTAAACATTATATGTAGTTTTCAACATGTTTCACTAGCATGCACTGAAAACAAAGTGATCTGTATGAGTTTGATTAAAGTTGTCATTCTGCAATGCGTGAAGCAGCTTTTCAAACCCTAACGCCTTGTTCTAACAACATATTCCAACATTCCACATAATGCAACATGACATAAAGTTTTAAATAAAAACCATTGTACTCCCACCAAAATAGGAAAGGCTTTTAATCCAATCAATACATATTAAACCCTTTTTGACATTATTAATAGGCTTCTGCATGACTGATGTTGTTCTGGATGCACAGTTCTGACTTTTCTTTTTTTTTCTTTCAACTGTCTGCTAGTTATTTATTTTCAAGATCTCAGGTGAACTATTTGTAGTCATATTGATAGCATTCAACACTAAGGGCACTATTTTAATGATTAGGCACAAAGTCTAAAGCGCATGACACAAAAGCATTAAAGGCATGTCTGAATCCACTTTTGCTATTTTAAGGATGGTAAAATACGCTCTGCGCAGTGGCCATTTGTTTAACAGGGTTGTGCTTATTCACTTAATGAGTTATGGGTGTGTTTTGAGCATAACATGCTTTAAACCAATAACAGCTTCATCGCTTATTGAGTTAGTTGTGTTGTGCCATGACACATTCGCTATTTACATGGTGGATTTTGTAGTGGAAAAACTAAATGCTTTACTAGCAAGAAAACAGTTAAACAGACCATCTGCAGCACAAGGATAAAGACCAAGCTTCCTCCATTCAGCCTTTTTACTTTCTTTTTACTTTACTTTTACTCTTTACTTTACTCTTTTACTTTCGTAGATTAGGAAAACAGTGCTGTACGCACTCCACTGAAGGCATCCATTAGCCTATATATTTAATTTCATTTGTTAAGCGCAAAGATTCATTTTAAAACTATTTCTAAATTCAGTTCTAATTTGCAGCAAATGAATAAATGAACAATAATAGCGAAGTGTGGTCAAAAAACTGAGTTATATCCTAATGCACATTCTATTCTCATGCCCCATATGGTGATGTATACATCTCCAAAACCCCACAGTACATCCTGTGTGTATTAGGCAAAACATTTGGACTTTCATAGGTGGATAACTAACGTGCTCCCCACTGAACCGTGATGTCGTGGAAATAGGAAGCATTTTAAAAATATAAATTTTGTGAATCGCCATCGTAGATTGTTAGGGCAAAACTGCTTTTAGCATGGTAAAGATGCATTTTATTGGGAATCGTGGCACCACATCACGTTTAGTTAAAATATGGTGCAAAACGCCATTTTTAGTCCAAAAGCAGCAAAGAACACTTATTGATAAAGTCTAAGTACATGTTTAACTAGTTAACTGTTTAACCTAATTTAATGTTTAACTAAAAACAAAGAACAGTTTGTGATAAAATCTGCTGAAAAGACCCAGATGCAATGTGTTTGAGAACAGTACATATGCACATCAGTCAAAATATTACCCACATCCCCTTTCTTTTGCATGTTCACTTAATCATTTTATTTGCTTGGCCAAACATTGAGGATTTTTGGCCAGTGTGGATTTTTTGTTATGTTTGGTTTGATTAAAATGAACTCTGGTGCGATTGCTTTGTTGGTGGGTTTTATCTGAGTTAGTGTGAACAGTGTCATCTGAACCTCGTTGCACACCAGACAAGTCCAGACCAAGCAAACAAGAAAACTGAACTACAAGTGTCAGCACACCCTTAGAAAGTGTGTGTGTATGCATGCGTGTGTGTGTCTGTTTGCGCGTGTGCGTGCTCATACATTCCTACTTGTATCAACGATTTAGGCTGGTGGCTTAGATGTAATGGTGTGAGGGATATTTTCTTGGCACACTTGCCCATTAGTATTAATTGAACATCGATTGATACTTCACAGCCTACCTGAGTATTGTTGCTGACCATGTCCAATGATTAAGGCAGTTCCGAAGGCAAAAACAGTCCCAAGCCGGTACTAGTAAGGTGTACCTAATAAAGTGTCCAGTGAGTGTATATATAATTATTAGAATATTTTTGCACTGACTTTACACTAATCAGTCAGATGTGAAACCTTCAGCCAATGTCTGTACTTTAAAATTAAAATTATATTGGGCAAATAATCTTCAGTATATTATTCGACCACTGTACTACAAGCTGGTATGTCTTATGAACATGCTGTAGAAAGCTGAATGCCTGTCACGTTATCTTTGCTTGTCTGTCATTGTTGACTAGCTGTTAAGGTCAGGGACAAGCGTGTCGAAAGCTGTCCTCATTCTGACGAGAAGACAAGCTTTTATGTTCTCACTTTTATTTTTGGTCTTACTTTTACATTCTCTTCTTTTGTCTGTGAACACTTTAGTACTTTGCTTGCTTTCATTTTTGTCTGGCCTTTGCTTTTCCATCAGTCCACTCCTCACTCTCTCCAGCCACCGATTGTGTATTTCTATACTCGCTTTCACTTTTCTCCATTATCTGGAGTTGTCTAAAAGATCTGCTGTAGCCACATGTCAAGTGACTTTACTTAGTTGCTGTTTTCAGTAAATACTAAATCAAACATAGAGAATGTAGAAGGTCAAGAAGTGAATAAAAATGAGTGTAGGTGAATTTGTTGGTCGGACACTGTAGAGTCAAAGTGCATTACAGGTATAAGAGTGAACATCGAAAATTAAACCGGTCCTAATTTGAACAACAGAATGGCCAAATCTCTAGATAATAAACAATTTAGAGAATAAAAAGCAGTTTCAGACACACTAAAGAGTTTATTAAGCAGGAAGAGATGTTACTGAAAGGTGTGTGTGTATGAGAGCAGCACTGTGCATTTGGCGGGGTCCCAGAGCAATTCATCACTCTGTTAATACAGGAGCGACACACACACTCAGAGACCCCTTCGTTAACTGTCATCCTTCATAATGAAGAGATAATACTTTTTCTGCCCAGCCGCTCATCCTCTTCTTTAGACACGCACAAACACACAGATCACGTCGCATGTGCTCAGCAACTCAGTGAAATGCAGAGTGCAGACAGTTTGCCCTGAGGCCAGTGAATAGCAGAGGGCTCTATGATTAAATAAAAGCTCTTTAAGATGGGCCTGAGTCCTTGCTCATTCCTGCTGGACCTCTGACATACGTGTTATGCAGTCTGACGCTGAGTACAAGTGAATTATTATTCAGATGCTGAAACAGGGATGTTAGTTGCATGTAGTTCAAACGAATTCATATGTTCTGGATGGTAGCTATTTACATTTGCCCTATTTTTTTTTAGTGTTGCGTGCGCTGCACATCGTGTCTGCATACAGCTTGTGTAAATCACATGCTGTAAGATGTCCTTGAAGACGGCATTAAATTAAAAATTTGCCCCTAATTGAGACCCTCCGGTGAAAATACCTCTTTCTTGATTATGTATTCAGGATTTCTCCATGTCATTTAGTCTGTTTAAACTGCCCCAGCAAAATCACATTTATCTCTCTCCATATCTCAGAACACAAAAACCAGTTCACTAAACCAAGTGCCTTCTCTGCATTTCATTTAATTTTATACAATCTCTTCATTAAAAATAATACAAGCCGTGAATGTTTGTTACATTTTTTTTAACCAATGGGAAACCAGAATGCCAGGTCAATTATAAATTATATTATGTATGAACTATAAAGCCTGGTCAGTGGTAAACTATAATTTCCCAACTGTTTGATCTGCAGATATGTGTTTTATCACACCTTTAATGGTGGGGTGTGTACGTTACAAGAATATTGACTATTTCTAAACATGTTTCCCTAAAACTTTGTCTTACCTTGACAATTAGGCAATGTTTAATCTTTCATTTGATCTCAGCTACTGCCAGAATATTTTGAACTATTCACTTGGTGCATAAGATCATGTACAGATTTATATCTAATTCAATAGGAGCCTTTCATCGGAAATACCAATATGAAACCACATAAAAACGTATTTGACTGCAGTTTTAAATAAAATGAATGCCAAAAATATATAATATGATGCCCGAAAACTTGTTCCTACTCTAATGATATTTACAGTGCATGGACATATTATCAACTAATAAATTGTTATTTTTGTGCAGTTCTTTCTACAACACCAAAAAATACCGCAAAACAACTTAATGATGTCTGTGGTTTGTAATGAAATACGTTTGCCTTACTTACCTCCATATGGACAACATTTCCAGCATGGTCAGTTTGCTTGGTAGCTCACTTTGTACGTGTTGTTCTTGTGATGCAGAGCGCTTCGCTTCAAGTGTAATGTAGCACAGTTCCACAAAAGAGATGAAAGCAATGTAAAAATCAAGGTTGCAGTACACTTTTTGCTTACATTTGGTTTTTAAAACAATTGGTTTGGTTAAGGAAAGGGTTTAGGTCAGTGGGTAACTGTTTTAGGTAATCTTGTACGTAAAGATGTGCATCTGAAATGTGCAACAAAGCATTCCCGAAGTAATGTATTTTATTTATTCGTAAAATCTTTACAGCACCCTCTAGTGGATTTATCATCTGAAATGTGCATAAAACGCAGCCGGAACAAGGTATTTTACATTTCGCTAAAATTTCCAATGAGGCTAACAACAATGAACATCATTATAATATTTTGCTCGTCCCTTGTTGGCTTTTTATCCACTTTACTCTGGTAAATTGTATTAAGATCTGGTATCTGGCAGCAGATTCTTCAAGTTGTGTAGGTTGTGAGATGGAGCTGCCAAATTTGTTGGTCTAGCAGCTCCCAAAGATGCTCAATTGGTTTGAGATCTAAGGAATTTGGAAGCATGAGCAACACCCTAAAGTCATCATCATGTTCTTTAAACTACTGGCTAATTTTAAACAGTGGTTGAGGCAATGTACCCACACAAATTATTGCAATATATGCTGTACTTTGAAGTAAGTCTTATTGAGTTCTTTTGGAGTTGTT